GGGGGCGATATGCTGACTCTGTAAACTGCTTAGAGAGGGCTGAAAGCCCTATGAAGCGGTATATAAGTCTAACTGCTATTGCTATTGCTATTTGGGGACATTTTTCATATCAGCCCTCATAGTATCTTACTGGATAATTGGGGACTTTCTTGGGAATTTATGTAGATGTTATCCATATGCTTCAGCTTCATTCTCTTTTAAAGTGTTTGTGTGTGTTGCACCATTGACTTCTATTTCAGAATAAGAAACTTATTTATTTGCATTTCTTCTTTACAGTTTGGGGAATTGAAACATATTCTTCCAGATGCTACTTCAATCTGAAACGAATAATCATTGAGTGAGGACTACTTATAGTAGTTATTTAGAGAGAAGTTGAGCCCTCTGCCCGAATTGCATGCAGAGGTCCATTCTACTTGGCGGATTCTTTTTAAATTTCAACATAATTTCAACCGCACCTAAATCTTTGTGTCTTTGAGGGAAAATCTAGCCTTTGTCTGATGCAGATACTGTAGTAAATATGGGGGAGCCCGGATTCAATCTAGTTGGAGTTTATTTGCATTCAATCAAGTGGAATATTATGCATCTGGCCACGTTTCTTTCTTATTATTGACTAGTCAAGGTTGAATATTGTATTTTACTTATTTGATTTTGAAACAGTCCAATCACTTTGCTGGACAAACCAGCATATAAAGAAAGAAGATGAGAAGCAGAAGACGATAAGGATAATAATGACTGATGAAACAAATCAAGGGAAAAGTACTTTAAGAGATTTAAATATGGAATTGGATAACCTGGAAGATACTTTTGAAAGGGAAATAGGGGTGTGGGTGGACACTCTGGAGACCTGGCAGCTTAGGAGGATAGAGATGGGAGAAATATTCAGACTCAATGGTGAAGACACAGATGCTGATAGAGATAAAGATCCAAGAGAGGAGTATGGGAGGCAAGCTAAAAAAAATGAATAAGAATTGAAGTATTAAAATGGGCAAGAGATGATGGATAGAAAGGAATTTTTTTTCTAATATAATGATGGCCTGATTAAAGGTAGAAATAAGAATACACACCTTTATATAAAGCTATAGTTAGATAGAAAAAATGGAGGTTGTAAGATGGTATTATTAAGTATGTTTAAATAATAGGATGATTAGAACTGGAATGGCGTACTGAGACTTTGAATAACCAAATAATGAAGGACTATGTCTTAATAAAAACATGTGTATTAACACTAGAATTAGTAATAGTGACCTGACTAGGAGCTAGAATAGAGGTAGAAATAAGAAATAGGGGGAATATTAGTAGATATATTTTTTATATAATAGAATATAAGTAATAACTATATGGAAATATTAGAAGTTGAAAGATGGTATTAATATGTATTGAAATATTGAATAACTACCCTAAAACAAACATATATATTAATACTAGGATTATATAAGTTTGATTAATGGTGTTGTTGTTGTTGTTGTTGTTATTATTATTATTATT